CAGCCTCCTCGGGTCGTCTCGGCTCTTGGCCCTTCTTGTCGCCGGGGCTCGAAACCCACTTCCGCATCACTGTCTGCGCGCGTGCACTGGCTAGCTGCGGGCTGCGCGCGGGAACTGCTGGGCTGCGCGCGTGAAATGACTTGGGCTGAGGCCAATGCCCTCTCTCGTGATCCCAGCACTTAGGAAACATGTGTTGAGGCTTGTCCAAGGCGCGGGAAGGCTTGGATAGTGCGGGACTCATCTTGCGGACCCTTCGCCCTAGGCTAGGTGTTACGGGCCTAACTTTGGGGCCCGGGACATGGCACGATCCCTTAGAGTGTCATGGTCCGATAAACCCGAGCACAAAGGTGCGAGGGTTCAACTAAGGGAAGGATGCGAGCTGGGTGCGTCCTTGTGGCTGAAAGTCGGGTTCAGTCGGGTCTTCTTGGGGCGACAAAGACATATGTGCATTACTTAGCTGAAATTGTCCAAGTGTTGGTCGGATCATGTTTGTTGGTTAAGTCGAGGGCTCGGTCGGACGAGGGTTGCTGCGGGTTGTGCATGGCCTTGCGGTTATGTTGGTTTAACTCAGACGAGGGTGTTGGCTAATCGATCAAATGCATGGTTGGACTTAGGCGTATTCGGGCACGCGAGTGCTTCAATGATGCAGCTCGATGGGCGCGTGCGAGGGTGGCATCGCGTCTAAGCCGTTGGCGGGAACAGTTGGATTTTGAAAAGGCAGTTGGGTTGCACGTGGACTAGTCGGTTACTATGTCCCACGTGGCCTAAGGCGGATCTTTACTTCGAGCAGTTGCATAACCGAGTGGGAACAAGGAAAGTAAGACACGTGGCTGGGTGGTTTCCAGGGACACGTGGCCTTGACGGTTTTCTAACCTGCGAGGGAGTTGGGCAAGGATAAAGCACGACGGTTGGCGCCCGTTGTTGCATGAAGCTGAGTCGGCGTCCGATGGATGCGTGCACGTGCCAATGGGCGGTTGCAGATAACTGCTGGGCGGTTACCAAGCGGTTGGAACTGCTGGGTCTGAGGCCTATAAATAGGCTGAGGCAGACACATGCACAGGGAGCGAAACCCGAGGGTGCAAGGCAAACAGATAAGTGAACGAGTGTGTGAGCAAGTTTGTGTACTGTATACTTGTAGATGCTTGAGTTGGCATACGCTAAGTGTAATAGCAAGCTTGTGTAGGCCAAATTCTGTAAGGCTGGTACTTGTATTCATGTATGTGTGTGCCTGCGTGCACTAAGGTGTTGGTGTGAACCGTGTATGCAAGTTGTAGGACCATTCCATTGTACTTTGTGATATAATAGTACTTGGTTGGGCGTGAGCCCGTAATATTGCGTGTCACTTATTTACTTGATAGCTTCCGCATGCGTATGTTTGTGACGTGCTTGCATAACCTCGATTGATACTTGTATGGGCGAGCGAACGACCGAGGGACGGTGCAAGGCTGACTGGTTCGAGGGGAATCAGGCCGCATAGGGTGCTAAGGAGAGAAAAATTTTAGCCTCTAGCAAGACCCTGTGACAAGTGGTATCAGAGCCAACGTTAGGTTCTGATTGCTGTTCGTTGGAAAAATGGGCGATTCAAATCGACCCGATCAACTCTTGATAACCCTTACGGCGAGGATACAAAGGCTGGAGGACATGATGGGTGACCGCCTCAAACACCTCTCTATGCAGCGGTCTTCGAGCGATTACAAACAACTGACGATGCGCTCGCTGACTTAAGCAAGAAGGTGGATGCTATGGTGAACTCGGTGGAGTCGCTGCCTGAATTCGTTGAAGGGCGGATTGATTCCACGCGAGATGAATTCATGCTGCTGTCGGAAGTGGTTGAGTCCAAGGTCAAGAAGATCATGGACCACGTGGCCCTACTGAAGTGGGTGGGCGCGAGTGTGCTCGAGGAGCAGCGCCAATTCCCATCGAAAGTCCGAATTCTAGATCCAAAAACGTTTGATGGTACCCGAGATGCCAAGGAAGTTGAGAATTTCCTTTGGGACATGGAGGCGTATTTCCATGCAGCCAGAGTCCAGGACGACGAGAAAGTGTCAATTGCGAGTATGTTCTTGTCTGGGGACGCAAAACTCTGGTGGCGTGCGCGAGCGTCTGATGACTTGAGTGCGAATCGGGAAGGGATCAAAACGTGGGATGTTATGAAGAGAGAGTTGAGGGATCAGTTCTTACCTTGCAACACAGATTGGGTTGCGAGGGAAGCTTTAAGAAACCTGAAGCAAGAGGGTGCGGTTCGTGAATATGTCAAGGATTTCAGTTCTTTGGTGCTTGACATTAGTGAGATGTCGGAGCAGGACAAGTTGTTCAACTTTATGGCGGGATTACAAGGATGGGCCCAAGCCGAGGTGCAGCGGCAAAGGGTTAGTGATCTGCCTACGACAATGGCTGCTGCCGAGCGCCTTGTAGATTTCAAGGTAATTGGTGCCTCTGACTCGAGTGAACATGTGAAAGACTCGACGAAGAAGGATGGGAAATCAAAAAAGTTCAAAGGTGGAAAGCACCGAGAGAAGTCTGGCAAGGGGAGTAGTGGTACGCCCCGTTATACGTCCAAACAAACGGTGGACCAAAGTCGTGGCTGTTTCTTGTGTGATGGCGACCACTTAATGAAGGATTGTCCCAAGCGATTGAAGGCCAGAGCTAACGCCTTAGTGGTGAAAGGCGATTCATGCGGCGATGAAGGCACGATTGGCCTAAATTTGTTGGTGCTATTGAACAACGTAAGTGTCCAAGACGAATCATGTTCGGGTTTAATGTTCGTAAAGGCTGTTGTGAAGGATAAGCAAATCATGGCAATGGTGGATTCGGGTGCATCCCATTCCTTCATGAACGAGACGATGGTCTCTCGGCTAGGCCTTAAACTTGAGCCAAGTGACGGATTGAGGATGAATTCTGTTATGCGCACAACACCAATCAAGGGGGTGGCTGAAGTGGACATGGTCATTGGACCGTGGAAAGGTACGTGCAAGGTGCATGTGTTGCCTCTTGATGACTTTGAATTAATTCTGGGCATGGATTCTCTCAAAGAAGCGAAAGCTTATGTGATGCTGCACTTGAGCAAGATGGTGTATGTGTTGGATGGAAAGGAAGTTTTCCATGATATTCAGTGGGCGTTGTCGAAAAAGAAAGATGCTTTGCGGGTTTCGACTATGCGAGTCGAGCAAGACCTGGGGCAGGCTGAAGTACTTTACCTTACTGCAGCAACTAAGAGCTATTCGGAGGCTCTGGGTACTTGTTGTAGTAAGTCTGATCGTGATACGCTTGGGGGCAAAGGTGAACTAACGAGACGGGTTCATAAGATTTTGGACCGAAGGACCCGAGGACGAGAAAGTAAGAGACGAACTTTTTACTTAGTTCATTAGAAAGGTGAGCCGAGGGCTAAGGCAACCTGGGATCGGAACGTTGAGTTGGTCCCATTCACGAGGCAGATTGCAAGGTTCGAGGCATGCTTGCGAATTTTCCCCATGTCGACGAGGGTGTCGACGAACTTAAGTGGGGGAGGTCTGTTACGGGCCTAACTTTGGGGCCCGGGACATGGCACGATCCCTTAGAGTGTCATGGTCCGATAGACCCGAGCACAAAGGTGCGAGGGTTCAACTAAGGGAAGGATGCGAGCTGGGCGCGTCCTTGTGGCTGAAAGTCAGGTTCAGTCGGGTCTTCGTGGGGCGACGAAGACATATGTGCATTACTTAGCTGAAATTGTCCAAGTGTTGGTCGGATCATGTTTGTTGGTTAAGTCGAGGGCTCGGTCAGACGAGGGTTGCTGCGGGTTGTGCATGGCCTTGCGGTTACGTTGGTTTAACTCGGACGAGGGTGTTGGCTAATCAATCAAATGCATGGTTGGACTTAGGCGTATTTGGGCACGCGAGTGCTTCGATGATGCAGCTCGATGGGCGCGTGTGAGGGTGGCGCCGCGTCTAAGCTGTTGGCGGGAACGGTTGGATTTTGAAAATCCAGTTGGGTTGCACGTGGACTAGTCGGTTACTCTGTCCCACGTGGCCTAAGGCGGATCTTTACTTCGAGCAGTTGCATAACCGAGTGGGAACAAGGAAAGCAAGACACGTGGCTGGGCGGTTTCCAGGGACACGTGGCCTTGACGGTTTTCTAACCTGCGAGGGAGTTGGGCAAGGGTAAAGCACGACGGTTGGCGCCCGTTGTTGCATGAAGCTGAGTTGGCGTCCGATGGATGCGTGCACGTGCCAAAAGGCGGTTGCGGATAACTGCTGGGCGGTTACCAAGCGGTTGGAACTGCTGGGTCTGAGGGCTATAAATAGGCTGAGGCAGACATGCGCAGGGAGCGAAACACGAGGGTGCAAGGCAAACAGATAAGTGAACGAGTGTGTGAGCATGTCTGTGTACTGTATACTTGTAGATGCTTGAGTTGGCATACGCTAAGTGTAATAGCAAGCTTGTGTAGGCCAAATTCTGTAAGGCTGGTACTTGTATTCATGTATGTGTGTGCCTGCGTGCACTAAGGTGTTGGTGTGAACCGTGTATGCAAGCTGTAGGTGTTGGGACAAATGAGGATCTCGATATGCACAAATCACGGACAAACATTCAACATAAACCTATGCGCAGCGGATCTAAAGGTTTGATGAAGAAAACTTACTGCTTAAAATTTATGTAGATCTGGCTGGCCCGAACAGTTGACCGCAAATCAAATCTTCTCGGAATCGAACAAACTTGACCAATCCAGAAAGCTGGCGTCACGGCGAAGTCAAAGGCGTTGACTGAATGGAAAACGGAGGTCTCACGCGCTCTCACGCGCTCGTGTAAGTCCCAGCAACTGCTTCCTTCCGGCGGCACGTGACGGAGCGTGCGGCGGTGGCTGGCGGCGATCTCGACGGCGATCTCTTCGTCTCGTCGTCCTGGTCGTCGTGGTATGGTCACTTGCTGGTTTTGGTCTCCGGTTTGGATGTATGATAGATCTGATTGGAATCCCGTATATACCTTAAGATCTTCTACTGTATTCTCAAACAGCTATCTAGATCTTGTATCAGTGGAGCACAAGAAATAGAACTACTCCTTGGAAGAGAGAGAGAGAGGGCTGGACGTTTCCCAAGGATGTGGGATTCTGTTCTTCTCTTCCATGAGCCTAATGTTGTATATATAGAGCTACAGTAGGGACCCTAAGGAGAATAGGATAAGGGTTTCTAATATATTAATACTGTGGAGCAACCCCACAATTAATATATTAATAATATTAAAGTCCACCACAATAATATTATTGCACTCCCCTCACCTATCCCAAATTACATTTGAGACACCTTATTATAATTATCCGATTTACCTCCCCATGTTTAAGATATAATGTCCATTAATTAATTCGATCACTAATAATCAAGAATTAATTAATATATTATATTACCGAAGCTAGCGCTCGCTCATAGCATTCATATTATGCCGGAATAAATCCACCTGCAGGGTTTAGCATAATATTCCTTCATGAACTCACTTCGGGGACATCATCAGACTAACGCACATGGTGACCGTAAATATCCTAATAGCACATCGAACACATAATGTCATTACCCAATTCATTAAGTATGTCGACTCGACCTGGATCTCACCCAAAGAATCAAAGCAACAACAATTATGTGCACATGCCTATTTAATATCTTACGGGTTAAGAGCACGCAATAATTAACTGAGGCCTAGTTCGTTTACGACGATCAGTATAAAACGAACATCCCTCTCTGGGATCCTGTTCAATACATAAATGTACTAGTGCAACTAATCGGTCAAGACAAGCCGTACGGTTGACACTACAACCGTTCCGATGGGTTGTTCAATTCCATCTAGGTTGTGAACCAATGATTCTTGTTTCGCAAGTAACTGATATAGTGATCTTCGGTACGCCCGATGACGACCCACTTATCTACATGCAAAACAACAGAATGTGGAACTCATTTAACTAAACATAATTCTCATTCATCAAGAAATAACAAGTGTAATATCCACTAAA